CCTGAGACCACACAGCAGGTAAATGAAAGCCCCAAGGATTCAAACCCCGACAGTCTTTGAGTCCAGAGTCCGTGCTGTCAACCTTGGCACAGTACTGTCCGGAGGACCACACTCCTATCGTTGTAACTGCCACAACAAGAGTCAGCAGAGCCTCACTTCATGTGGATTTCATTTTTCAGGTATCAGTTTGAGCAGGCTTGTTCAGAGGGCACACGAGGCCCCCCAGTTCTGACAGGCCAGCTGCTGTGGCACTTGCCTCGTGGTGTCCACCAGATGAGACTCTGCAGTGGAGGCTGCTGCCTCCCTGGGCAGCTCGACCTCCCATCTCCCTCTTCCCCATCTGGGTCTCTGTCTCCACCCCCCACCACTGCCTCCCCATCCCCTGCCATCCCTCTCCCCGTGCCTGCCCCTTGAGCCTGCCCCTCTCTTGGTGTCTCCCATCACAGGCCACCTCTAAACTGGGGCCCCTGCAGGCCACCTTGGCGTCTCTTCCCCACGGCGGGTGGGGTGCATAACCCAGCTTCTGGGTCCTGAGCCACTGGGGCCAGCAGTGGGGGAGAAAGACGGAGTTGGGCGGCCCTAGCTCTCAGCCTCAGCACCATCCTTCCCTGGCCCCACTGCCCCTTCTTGAGCCTCAGTTTCCACGTCTGTGAAGTGGGACTGTGAACCCCTCTAGTGCTGGCCTCTTGGAGCAGTGATGAGGGTCCCGGGATTCAGAAAGGGCTTTGTGATCTCTTGAGTGATGTGTGTGGTGGGGCAGTGGTTGTGATTTCTCTGGGGCTGCTGGGGGCAGGGCTGGGGGGGGGTTCCCGCCCTCATTCATCTGGCACCTGTTTATCCCACACCTGCCCACAGCATAAGTGCTGTTCTAGGTGCTGGGAAAACTGTGGTGATCCCTCCCTGTGGCATGTACACTCTAGAGGGACAGGCAGCGCATAAGGCAAATGGACAAATAGTAAAATGCTTGTACGTCACATTGTTCTGCGAAGAAAATGGTGCTGGGCTGAGATTACATTTGCTTGGGTGACCAGGGAAGGCTCTGGGGCAGGGGGTGACATTAAGCTGACAACTAAGATCTGTCGTGTGAAGAAAGGCATCTCTGGCAGGGGGAAGAGCAAGTGCAAAGGCCCTGAGGCAGGAGCGAGGTTGGCACGTTTGCAGAGCGGGAGGAGACCGGCGTGGCTGGGGCACGGGGAGTGAGGGTGAGCATGGCATGAGGGGGAGGGTCGGGAGAGGATTTGGATTGTGTGACCAGGAAATGCAGGCCCTGGGAGATTTTCAGGGAGAGCTGTGGTAGCATCTGATTTGCATGTGTTTTGTGTTTTTTTTTTTTTAATTTTTATTTATTTATTTTTGACTGTCCTGGGTCTTTATTCCTGCTCAGGCTTTTCTCTAGTTTCAGAGAGCACAGCAGGTGCGGGGGGAGACGGGCCTACTCTCTAGTTGCAGTGCACAGGCTTCTCATTGCAGTGGCTTCTCTTGTTGAGGAGCATGAGCTCTAGGCAAGCAGGCTTCAGTAGTTGCAGCTCCCGGGCTCTAGATTACAGGCTCAGTACTTGTGGCACATGGGTTTAGTTGCTCCGTGGTATGTGGGATCTTCCTGGATTAGGGATCTAACCTAAATGTATTTCCTGCATTGGCAGGCAGATTCTTTGCCACTGAGCCACCAGGGAAACCCCTGCCCCCAAATTGCATGTTTCAAGACTCCCTCTGGCTCTGGTGTGGAAAAGAGAGTCTGGGGTTGCTCAGGGAGACCTGTCATTGGCCAGGGGAGTGGAAGGGGGGAGATGGGGAGGATTCTGGATACATCTTGGAGGTAGAACCAACTGCAGTAGTAGGATAGGGGGTGAAGGAAAGAGAGAGGCCAAGGATGATGTGTTCCTAGGTTTCTGGCTGAAACTGGAATGTTCTAGACCTGTGGCTCAGCCCCAGTCCCCAGATTCTGTTTTTTCTGCTTCAAGAGTAAGATGCCTTAGAAGCTCAGGGCCAGTGGACCCTGTGGGAGCTTAAGCCTGAGTCTTATCCATTGTTGTAGCCCAAGGTGTTCAAGGAATGTTGACTGAATGAATGAAGGGGAATTCCCAAGCCCTGCCCACTCTCTGCCCTGCTTTCTGTAAAAAGAAATACTATCCCTTCTGTATCCCTGTCTTCTGATCCCGTCCCTGGTGCCCTGGTCACCCCAGAAGGCTTATGTCTATCTGGACCAGGAGTCAGGACCATCCACAAGTGGGCCCTGGCTCCCCAGACCCCCTCTCCAGCCCGAAGCCTCCAATTACCTGCGGGCGCGCTGCGCTGCATCAGGGAGCTCTCCGCCCAGCCCAGATGCAGGGCGGGCCCAGCCCTCCCATAATGACACCTTGCCTGCGGCCCTCTTGCTGGAGTAGGAGGGGAGGGGGCCTGGCCCAGCCTAGGCTGTGGTTTCTTTTTCCATTGCGTCAGGCCTCAGGGTCCGGCCCGCCTGCCCGCTGCCGGCTGGCATAGAGGGATCCACTCTGACCCCCGCCTGCCCCCACTGCAGACACCATGTGCTCCCCGTTTCGGGCATCTAGAAGCTTCCAGCCAGAGGGTGAGTTGGGGATGGGGGACCTGCCCCTAACTGGGGGTGGAGTGCCCCTTCCCCACCCACCCATCGCTCCGGCTCTCCGGCTCTCCGGGGCCTGCGCTGATCCAGGTGGGGTGGCAGTGGGCTTTGAGGAGTCCCACCCAGCCCGACCCTCCTGTGGGACCTGGCCCTCCTGGCCACACCCTCAGCCAGGCCGGAGCCAGTGAGGGGCAGGAGGACAGTGCAGTAACCGCGTGGTGATGGTGGCTCAGATCCGGGGGAGAGTGGGAAGAAGTGGCCCCAGAGTGATCATTTGAGTGCTTGCCTTCACATTTGTTAGTCTGGGGGCCTAGGTATATGTGTGTATCCGTGTGTACATGCACCAGGAAGTGTGTGAACCTGGGTGTGTGTACCTGACACCCCCAGAATGAAAACAGAGGTCTCTGACTTGGCAGTGGGGCAGATGGTGGCCCAAGTGACATCTCAGCTGTTAGGAAGGGGGCCTGTGAGGTGAAGAGGAAGTGAGTGGGCTGGAATCTATCCCATCAGTGATGATGGGAGAGGCAGGGGTGTGGACAGGGTAGCCCCAGAGGAACTAGTGACCTTGGGTGCACTGGGGCGCTCTTAGCCTCAGGCTCCCTTGGGCTTGGCTGACACCCCAGATAGTCCCCACCTAGGTTCTAGATCCCCACCATGCCCAGCAGTCCCCCTGCCCAGGCCATATGTTGGCCTGGGAGTCTGGAGACTTGGCTCATGCCCTGCCTCTGGTTCCTGACAGGTGACTTCTGCTTCTGAGCCTCAGTTTCCTTATCTGCAAAATGGGAGTGGCTGTCATGCTTCCCCTCCCCATCCTCCATGGGTAGGTGTAAGCATAAACAGGTGTTCTCTCAGCCCCCTGGCAAGATGTCCTTTTTTAAAAAAAAAAAAACAAAACTTATTTAGCTGTACTGGATCTTTAATTGGGGCATGCAGGATCTAGTTCCCTGGCCAGGGATCGAATCCGGGTCCCCTGCGTTAGCAGCGCAGGCTCTTAGCCACTGGATCACCAGGGAAGTCCATGATGTCTATGCAGGACATCACTATTCCCCGTTCTCCTTGCTGAGTCGAGGATTTGCTCGCCCCTCCCCCACGGGGCACGGCCACCCAGCTGCACACAGTGAGGGGGAGTGCGACTCTCCAGCCCCTCCGAGGGAAACTAATTTTTACACGACATGAATAAATCCTGCAGGCAAATTGCAGTGCTGTCCTGATGCTCTGGGCTCGTGTGATTATAATGAGGTTCTAGGGACAGACGGTGGGAGGGAGGGCGCTGAGCACTGGCTTTGTCTCTGCCCAGATCCTCTGCCTGCCAGGCACGCCCTGGGGTGCTGCGTCTGGAGCCCCACACTCGCACAGGCCTCCTGAGACCTGGGCCCAGCGAAAGGCTGGCGCTCAGGAACTGGGCTGGGCTCCGGGTCAGCGGGAGGGGCGGGCCCAGCGTTGCCACTGTGACTCCATCCTTCTGCTTGGATGACAGCCACCTCCTCGCTGGCTTCCCTGCTGCCTCTCCTCTGTCTAACAACCCCTTCTCCCCACAGGGGCTGGAGCGAGCTTTTAAGAACACAAATCAGATCATGTCACCTCTCTGCTTAAAACCCTCCAAGGATTTCATCACTCTCAGAACAAAGCCCCGGCTCCCCCTGGGAGTCTCCAGCCCACAAGACCTGGCTGCCCTCCAGGCTAGAACGGGAGCTCAGAGAGGGCTGAAGCTGGGCCCTCTTCTTAACTGCCGGGCCCAGCCCTGGCACAGTTCTTGGGACTCAGCAGACACTAGGTAGACACTCTGGGGTGAATGAGCGAGCCTTGGTGTTGCAAGGTGCCAAGATGTCAGTTGCTCAGGAGAAGCCCAGGTCTTCCTGGGAACATGAATGGGATGCCTGTGTCCATCGTGATGTGTTACTGCTCTGACAGGAGCAACTTGGACCTGTGTGTATCTCACGGGTAAAGACAGACCAAAGCAGAGAGCAACTTCAGGGACAACCTAAACACTCACCTACGGAGATTCCTTTTTCATGCATTTCGTGCATTCTTTCTCCAGGCTTTTCCCCAACCCCAACCTGCTCCCCTCCCCAACCACACACACACTTCTCACTCCACATCTTGAGGGCCAGGTGGTGACACCTCCCCAGGGTGTGGAGGGCTGTTTCAGATGTCTGTTCCCTGTCTGACCCTCAGTGTTGTCCCCCTAGACTGTGAGGCGCTGCTGCCGCCGCCGCTGCCAACCTCCATGGCCTACATACCCGGTGGGGGTGCCCCGGCCTCGGGGGCGGCCCCCGTGGGCTCCCAGTACTGCGTGTGCAAGGTGGAGCTGTCCGTCAGTGGCCAGAACCTGCTGGACCGGGATGTCACCTCCAAGTCCGACCCCTTCTGTGTCCTCTTCACAGAGACCGATGGCAGGTGGATGGAGGTGAGGTCCCGTGGTGTGCGGCTGCCCAGGGTGGTGGGCGACGCAGTCGCTGGGGAGCGCTCCCCCTGCCTCCCTGGGGTCAGGCCCTTGGAAGTACTTGGAGCGGGAGCTGGGGATTCCCTGGAAATTTGTTATTCTGAAATGTTTATAGTAATAGTTAAAATATCTATATTCATTGATGATGGACAGGAAAGCCTGGTGCGCTGCAGTCCGGAAGGTCGCAAAGAGTCAGACACGACTGAGCGACTGAACTGAATAATTTGTAGATTTATGTTTACAGAATTTTATATTTAGTGTTTATAATATTTTAAGCCACTATTGTTGTCGTTCAGTCGCTCAGTTGTGTCCGACTGTTTGCGACCCTGTGGACTGTAGCCCGCCAGGCTCCTTGGTCCATTGGATTTCCCAGGCAAGAACACTGGTGTGGGTTGTCATTTCCTTCTCCAGGGGATCTTCCCAACTCAGGATCGAACCCAGGTCTCCTGCATTGTCAGGTGGGTTGTTTACCACTGAGCCACCAGGGAAGCCCTTAAGTTACTATAATAGATGGTTAAAAGAGAGTTTTGCAAAATGCTTCCATTTTTAAAATAACGTTCCCCACTTATTTCTCAATGAGCACAGTCAGTGAGGAGCAAAGAGAGAAACAGGGAACTCTATTAGGCTTTGGTCCCAGAGCTGAGCCAAGACCCAGCTCTGTTACTCCCTGCTGTGTGGTTTTGAGCAAATGGCTATCCCTCTCTGAGCCTGTCTCCTCATCTATGAAATGATTTTTTTTTTTAATGCCTACCTTGGAGAGCCTCAGAGCTAAGGATGCTGATGGTGCCACAGCCAAGGATTTCTGAGCTAGAAGACTTTGGCCTGCGGACTGGGGAAAGATGTAGCTTGAGGAAGGATACTGAGAAATCCAAGCCATTAAGACTTTCAAGGTTTAAAAATGGCTTTGTTTCCTATTCCAAAAGGGATCTATATGCATTGTAGTAAACTGAGACAATTCAGAAAATCAAAATGGTTGGGAACTTACCTGTCAGGGAGAACCAGCTATGAATGGTTTGGTATCCATTCTTCCAGATAATTTTTCATGCATGTAAACTTTCCAATATATGTCTCTTACTTTTCATAGTTATTTAACGAGGCCTCGGTGGGCGTCCCCCAGAACATACAGTAGTTTACAAAGAGTTTCCACAGATGTTGGCTCCATCTTATGATGCCAAGGAAATGGGCTGGGCCTGTTGACCCGTTTTGCAGAGGGGAAAATGGGGCCCAGAGAGGGGAGGGACTGACCTGTCTCACCCAGCACATTGGTGATGCAGCCAGAAGTGGGAGGTGGGACATCGGGTCAGCCAAGGAGTGCTGGGAGTCCTATCAGCCAGGTTTCAGGAACTCCTGCCCCGCCCCACCCCTCAGGGGTGATGTCCACCCCCTCCTCCCCCAGGCATCTACCTCCATTCACAGCACTCCCCCTACCCTCCTCAATAATCTTTCTCCCACCCAGGCCAGCCACCCTGGCTAAAAATAGCCCGGGGCCAAGACCTCTTCCATCCCTGCTGCTCTCTGGCCCTTGGAAATGGAATGGGTGGGAGGAAAAATCAACACAGCCCAGGCCCCAAAATAGACTGTCACCCAGACTCTGTGGTTTGGGGCCTCAGTGCAGAGAAGTCAGGAGGCGGGGTTCCTGTCCCAGCCCCACCAGTGACCCCCAGTGTATGGCCCTGTCCTTCCCCAGGCCTCAGTTTCCACTCTAAATGGGGGGTGGGGGCCACTCAGTTCCCAGTTTTGACATCCCAGGGTTCTGTGAAGGTACAAACATCTGCCTCCACGGGGGACAGGGAACCCCGACCTCACCTCCCCCTAAGTACCCCTCCTCCTTCATGTAAAATGGTTTGAAGAAAGGATTTTCCACAAATAAAAAGGAAGCAAAGCCACAGACACTCAAATCCTTTCATTTTACAGAAGTGGAAACTGAGGTTCCCATGGGAAATGAGACTCCCTCTGTCACTTAACCTTGGCGGGGACAGGGTCTGAACTCTCATCCTAGAACCTGGGCATGGAGCCAGGGCCAGTGTGTTAGAAGCGTGAAGGCTGGAGTCAGGACTGGGTTCAAATCCTGGCCATGCCCTCTAGCTGTTCAACCTTGGGTAAGTCACTTAACCTCTCTGCTTCAGTGTTCTACTATGTGAGCTGGGAGTAATGATTGCTTCAGCCACACGGATAACTTCCCTGAGTGTCTGGCACAGAGGTGGGTGTTCCGTGAATAAACACCATGATTTCCCATAGCCCAGGAAGAGGTTAACAGGCCTTTCTTAGTGGCTCAGTGATAAAGAATCCACCGGCTAATGCAGGTTTGATCCCTGGGCTGGGAAGATTCCCCTGGCAAAGGAAATGGCAACCCACTCCATATTCTTGCCTGGGAAATCCCATGGACAGAGGAGCCTGGTGGGTAACAATCTGTGGCATCATGAAAGACACCAGTTAGTGACTAAACAATGACAAAGAAGGGGTGAACTGGCTCCCCGACTCTGACTCCTGTTCCCTGCTCCTTGGCCAGTACGACAGGACAGAGACTGCAATCAACAACCTCAACCCCGCTTTCTCCAAGAAGTTCGTGCTTGACTACCACTTTGAGGAGGTGCAGAAGCTCAAGTTTGCCCTGTTCGACCAGGACAAGTCAAGCATGCAGCTGGAGGAGCATGATTTCCTGGGCCAGTTCTCCTGCAGCCTGGGCACGGTGAGCCGCCCCCCCCCCCTCCACCCCCGAGGAGGATGGGGGTCAGTGCAAGTCGCCTGGCTCCCAAGGATGGAGCACCTCCTGAGGAGTCTCCTGCTGCCTGCATTCCCTGGTCCCATTTTCCCCACCTGCCCCCAGAGGTGGCAACACAAATGCAGACAGTCTTGCAGGACTGAAGGCACCAAAAGGGGGAAAGAACCCAAAAGGGCTTGGGGCCAGGCTGAAGCGCTCTCATCCCCAGATGCTGAGCACAGTGACAAAGAGGGGTGCGGGCCCCTGTGGCCAGAGCTTCTGAGAGAGAGAAGCAAGCAGGTGCAGTCTTGACTTCCTGGGGTAGGAGCATTCGACCAGCCATGAAGGCACCCTTGGTCGTCCCACTTCCGCGGCTGGCTCACCGTGTGACCTTGGGCAACTTTCTTTCCTTCTCTGGGTTACACTTCCCCCTCCGGCTCACTCTCTGGTGTGCTCATGGAAGTTGCAGGTCTAAGACTTCCTGACGCAAGTTCCGATCACTATTAACAGTTCTGGGCTCTAGGGCAAGTCCCACGGCCTTCTGAGCCTCCCGTTTTACTTGGGAACTGTGATGACTGCTCTGCTCAGCCTGTAGGGAGAATGGGTGAATAAAATGGGAATGGCTCCAAGAGGTTCTCGTGGAGACTGAAACGCCCTGGGCCTTCCAGGAAATGATGTTCAATGAAAAAAGCAAGGGCCCGGCAGTTGCCTAAGAAGTGAGGTGTGTCCCTCAGGTCCCCGAGGTGTGTCTACACCTTCAGAGGGTAGTGGGTGGAGCAGAAACCCACAAGGGGTGGGGAAACCTGCATCGGGCCTGACACCAGCCGGCCACCCCTGGTCTGGAGGGAGGGGCAGTGCAGGAAGTGGTATTGCCCGGGGCCAGGGGAGAGCTGTGGCCACCACAGGGGGAACCGAGGCCGCTGATGAGCAGCGAAGTTTCAGCTAAGCCTTTTCTCCCCTCCTGCTAGACCCCCACTGGGGGGAGGGGTGAACCCCCTCAATCTGGAGGATGGGGGGGCCAGGTGAAGTAGTCCACAGTGGCACAGAGAAGGCCGAGAGTGGAACCGGTGGGGAGAAAAGCTAGCACAGGGACAGTAAGAACATGCTCACATCAGCACAAAGAAACAGGAGCATTTCCCCTGAGAAACAGAACCATGGTGGACAGGGAGAGAGTGGGAATGGGGGGTAAAGAGGCGGGTGGGAGGGAGACTTCACAGTGTGTTCCCTTGTCCTCCCTGTATGTACTGATCCTTGAATCCTGTGTGAATGTCTTCATTATTCAAACCATTGAAAATACATGGAAGGAGTCAGGATTTGATCCTCTCCATCAGGGATCACACCCGGAGGGAGAAGGGGGCTTCTGGATAACTCTGGGGGAGGCGGTTACTGGCCAGTCTCCCTTCAGCAGCCTCCAGAACGTGAGCCTTCCAGGAGCCTTTTCCTGGGGGCTTGCAGGTCCCCGGGAATCGGACTGCTGGAATTCCAACCCAGCTGGGAGACCTCGGACAAGTGTCTCAACCTCTCTGGGCCTTAGTCGCCTCAGCTGCCCAGTGGAGCTAGCAGTGGTGGCGGTCTGTCTCCCACGGCGGGGAACCCACAGGGGGAGGTTTTAGCCTGCTCCTGGCATGGAGTGTTGTGCTGCAAGCAGTGCCTGTTGAGTATTTTTCTAGCACCCCTCCCTCCTCTCTACCTCCAGATCGTCTCCAGCAAGAAGATAACTCGGCCTCTGCTGCTGATGAATGACAAGCCTGCGGGGAAGGGCTTGATTACGGTACCAGCCCGCGTCCCAGCTCTCCATGGGCACCCTCCCCACCCCCACCCGCGCTGCCCACTGCCCTCCCCCATCAATGGGCCGCTTCACTGGGAGATAATAACCAGCTTTGTTTGGAGTAAAAAGGCCCAACTTACAACTTAGCAACAGGTCTCTTAGCAACGGGCTCCTGCCTCCATATATGATGCGTCGGGGCTGCCAAGCTGGGGGGTGAAGGGGGACTGCCAGGGGTCCCCACGGCGTCTCCCCGGGCCGGGGCGCTCCTACTCCTCCCTGGAGGCCTCCACAGTCCTCCCTGCATCCCCTCCCGGCCCTGGTCCCTGCTGTCCTCCCTTGGGTGGTCTTTCAGGCGATTTCAGGAGCTCCTTGTCCCTCGCAGCTTGGCTCGTGGCTGCAATGCGCAATGATTCCTCTGATGCGCAAAGATTCGGTGATGCGCAATGATCCCTACGCGACAGAGTGATTCTTGCGATGCGCAGGCCCTTTGAGCGGATGAGCTCTTTAGTCCTCAGACTCTGGAAGGCAGAGTCTGCTTTTACAGATGAGGGAGCTGGATCCCAGAGAAGAAGTGCCCCGGGGCGGTTCAGCTCTCCTGGCTTGTTCCCCTTCAGAGCCTGTGACGCCAGCGAAACTGTCCGTGCTGGGAGGAGGAGGGCTGTACCTGTGTGTCTTTGCTCATGCGGCGTTATTCGCTTGCTCTGGAACATTCCTGGCTCCCCACTGCCTGTGGAGCCATGCATTCCGGGCTGGGAGGGACCCAGCGATCTCAGCTGTTTCTTTTACCCTATTCATGACCATGGGCCTGAGTTCAGGCAAACTGAATTCTAAGCACGAAGTGAAAGTGTTAGTGGCTCAGTCATGTCCGACTCTTTGCAACCCCATGAACTGTAAAGCCTGCTCGGCTCCTCTGTCCATGGGATTCCTGGATAATCATTTGTTTCTCCAGGGGATCTTCGCTCCCCCAGGGATCGAACCTGGGTCTCCTAGACTGCAGGCAGATTCTTTACCACGTCAGCCACCGGGGAGCACTTATTCCAGGCTCTTATCCACTGTTCCTGCCACCTTGAATGTCCCCTCCCAGCCTCCTCCCACCTCTTGGGGTTCAAAACCTCCCCCATTTAAGTGCCTCCACTGGTCAGCTGTCCTGCACACGGAAGCCAGCCCAGAAGGACCCCACCCAGCTGGTATGCCCTCCTCCACCATTTCCAGCAGCTCCCCTCCAGACCTGGGTACCCTCCTCTTTTGAAATAGGGGTAATAAAAGGGCCTACGCTATAGGGTTGTTGAGCAAGGTCTCAGCTGGAGGGGAGGCAGGAGAGAGGGGCCTCCAGCCTGGCCTCTGTCTGTGGTTCTGAGTCAAATGGCTCATTCAGCAGGTAGGGTTATCCTAGAGGTGTGGGAGGAGAGGAGGTCCTCGCCGAGAGAGCTAGGACTTGGGTGCCTACCCACTTGGGTGCCTGTTGGCCAGAGGGCCTTCCCTGCCGGCTCTAGAGAGAGGGAGATGCCCAGAGAGGGCAGATGGTAGCCTCGAGGGCACCCAGCTGGCACATCTCTGGCCAGCCTGGGGCAGGAGGCATTGGCTGATGGGAAAGGCATGGAGGGTTGATGACTAGCGTGAGCTGATGAGACAGCAGAGGGAGCTCAGGTGGTCCCACCTTTGCCCTGGGCCTCAGTTTCCCTGACTGCACAGCAAAGTTGCTAGAATTTCCGATGCCTTGGGTGTTTCGAGGTGGCCGTATGTGCACTCTGGGTCTGCAGTGGGGGGATGAGGAGGCTTGGCAGGCCATTCCCCTACCCAGAGCCTTTCCCCAGGGCTCTAGATCATCCCTGTGTCTGATCCCTGCTTCGTCTTCCCACACCATCTCATGCCTCTCTTGAGCCACTTAGGGGTCACTTTCTGATTCTCAGATCCAGATGAGTTATTTAGCCCCATTTTCCAGAAGATGGAAACTGAGGTTTTAGGAAGACAAGAGGCTTATCCCAAGTCACCTGGTACTACTTTTCCTTTCCTGTCCCCACCCCACCCCACCCCACCCCGGAGAATTGACTGCTAGGGCATCCTGTGTCCACCCTGCCTGAAAGGAGGTCAGAGGAGGGAGACCCCAACCCCCAACTTCCCTCTGTCCTTGCAGATCGCTGCTCAGGAGCTGTCAGATAACCGGGTCATCACACTGAGCTTGGCGGGCAGGAAGCTGGACAAGAAGGTGAGGCAGGGAGGGGAGGGGGTTCTCCATCAAGGGGCAGCAACCCTTCCCCAGCCCTGGGGTTGTATGGCCTGGGACTTCTGGCCACCACCTTCATTGCCCCTCCAGGGACAAGTCCATTGCACACCGCCCTGCTGGCCACCCCAAATTAAGACTGCTTCACCATTGAGGTTTCTTATCATTTGGAGGTATTCAAGACATGGCTGGAAGCCCACTCGCTGGGGCTCCCCATCTCTGTAAATGCTTGGGTCCTTACAATAACCTACAGGACCCCACCTAATGTATCCATAGCCCCCTGATTCCCTGACCTCACCCCTTCCACATTCCCTGCCTTCATTCTGTTTTAGTCAGATCAGCCTCTTCACTGTCTGGGATTAAACCAGGCACCCTCCTGCCTCAGGACCTTTGCACTTGCTGTGCCTTCTGCCTGGGATGTTTTTTGCCCAGAATCTTTTCATGACTGTCCCCTCCCTCGCTTTCATCAGGCCTCTGCTCACAATGTCACCTTCTAGTTAGGCCTTCCCTGAAGAACCCTGCAGTGGTCCCTAACCTTCCGCCCCCTTTACTTCCGTCTCCTTTACTTGTCTCTTTATTGCTAATTCCTGCCTAGTGTATATTATTATTATTTGTGTGTGTGTGTGGGGGGGGAGCTGCACTGGCTCTTCATTGCTGCAGGCTTTCTCTAATTGCACTGAGCAGGGGCTACTGGCTAGTTATGGTGCTGGGCTTCTCTTGTTTCGGAGTATGGGCTCTAGGTACATGGGCTTCAGTAGTTGCGATGTGCAGACTTAAGTTGCTCCACGGAATCTTCCCCAATCAGGGATCAAACCTGTGTCCCCTGCCTTAGCAGGCAGATTCTTATCCATTGGACCACCAGGGAAGTCCCAATGTATGTTATTTACTCATTTGTTTTACTTCTCCCCACTCTTGAATGTAGCCTGTTATAGACTCCACATTTTCTTAAATGGAGTTTTAAAGAACTTTTCTGCTAGGATAATTTTGCTTTTATTTTTTCAGAACCCCACTAAAATAATTTAAAATCCCATTCTGCTGGGTACCTCCCCCTGCCCTGGGAACATTCTCTCTCTGACGTCCTGCCCCACCTGAGATGCTGGAATTGTAACTTCTACAGTCTCCAGGCCTCCAGCTCTCTGAGCACAAGCTCTGGTCACCCCAGGATGGGGTGGTTTCTCCTGGGGATGCTGCTTGGTTCCAGGAGTCTGCGACTGCCTGGGTCTCTGCTGAGCCCTGCAGAGGCTGAGGGAGTGGGACCAGCAGTTCCCGCTCCTGACACTGGGGGTGGGGGAAGGGAGACAGCTGGGCCACACCCCCACCCCATCTGAATCCGGTAGTTATGCCTCCCTCACCCACATCCTCCCGCTTCCTCCAGGATCTATTCGGGAAGTCAGACCCATTTCTCGAGTTTTATAAACCAGGAGATGATGGCAAGTGGATGCTGGTCCACAGGACTGAGGTGGGTGTGTGGGGGTCCAGGGGTCTCTGAGCTAGTGGGCCTGCAGTCTGGCCACCCTGACAGCTCGGGGCAGGACCCGGCAGGCACATCCTACAGTGCCCAGGAAAACCCCTGATGGCCCCTAAGGACTTGCTCCCTCCTCATCACAGGGGTGCTCACATCCATCCCCAGAAGCGTGGCTGTGGGTCTCTCCACCTTGCCTCCCCCTGTCCCATTGTGTTGGCCCGATCCCAGAGCACTGCCACCCCTGGGCCCCTGCTCACCCCGGCCTCCTCACTGTCCTGCAGGTGATCAAGTACACGTTGGACCCCGTGTGGAAGCCGTTCACCGTGCCGTTGGTGTCCCTGTGCGATGGAGACATGGAGAAGCCCATCCAGGTGAGTGGGGGGGCTGCGGGAGCCCTGCTGCCCACCCTGCCAGCTCTGGCCTCCCGGTCACCTGAGGCTTCTTGGGGGTGCCTTGGCAAAGCTCTTGCTTATTAAGATGCAAGAAGAACCCGTGGTGGGGAGGAGCAAGAGACCTGAGTCCTTGTCCCAGTTCTGCCGGACCCTCTGACTGATCTGGGCAGGGCCCTCATCTCTGTGAACCTCTTGTTTAAAATGGGAACAGAGTGGCTGCCCTGTTCTTCCCGGAGGGCTGTGTGCTGCTCGCTAAGCTAATGAATGCAGGATCACCTTGGAAACAACCAAGTGTTGTCGCCGTTGATGAAGATGGTGATTACTAGTCTCTAAGAGCCCTCAGTCCTTGGGACCGGGTCTGAGAGCAGATGGGGTGGGGCAAGGCAGTAAGGCCGTGTAGGGACCCCCAGACAGGGCACCAGGAAACCTGGCTTCTGGTTCTGGCTCTCCTGCTGCCACTGTAAGACTTTGGGCCAGTGCTTCCCACTTAGAGCCTTGGTTTGCCCATCTGTACAATGGGTACAGTAATTCCTGTCTTCCTTCTAGGAGTGTCACGGCAGCTAAGTTAGCACATCAAGCTGGAACTTTTTGTGCCCACCTCAGGAAAAGAATTACAAGTTTAGGGAGGACTCCAGGCCATGGCCCATGAGGCCAGGTGGGCCACAACCCAAGACAGAGTAGCAGCCCAGTGTCAGGTGTGTGGGGTGTGCAGCTTCCCGCACCAGAGGGAGGGGTCTCCATTACTAGAGCAGACACCCTTTCTCCTCCTCCCAGCAATCATGGAAGGCTTCCTGTAGGAGGCAGTTCAGGAGCTACAGTCATCAGCCCAAGCCAGGTAGTCAGATCGAGGGGGAGAGGGAGGCACCCCCCTGCCAAAAAATAGACATGGGGTTTGCTTAGGGAACTGAGAGGAGCTGTGGGTGCCTGC